TTGTTCTGACTGTGATTATTTGCTGCCTCCACCAAACCACACCAGAGGTATAGTGTTAGACACTGAAGGAAAAACCACACTGACAACTTCTGTTAAACCACCTGTTTCCTGTCATAGAACCACACCTACTACAACACGTCCATTTCACAACCTAATGTGCTCATATAGTGCAGCTAATAATAATCAGTGACCAAGTGGAAAGTTTTAGTGTGCCTTTTAAGTTTAGGTGGTATTTACTGAGAAATAAACAGATAAATAAATCATGGTATGAACAGCTGCCCTTGTGTGGCTAAAATAACTGACAACACCAACAGATACAAAGATGTTGTATCAACAAATATTCTGTTCATTCTCCACAAAAAATTGAAAACATTAAGAAATATGATACATTTTCATGTCTCTGCGTTTTCTCTATTTAATTACTTATAGTATTTAACTAATTTATTATTAGTTGCACAAGTGATGTGTACTTATTTTGCAGTTCTACTCTCACATGCTTACATATCTGATTAACTTTAGAACAATAACAAAACTAGAGAACCATGAGTAAGTTACCTTTGAAGTTCCAGAGTGCCTTGCCTTCAACTTTACCATTGTCTTTAACATCCAGGGTGAAACAAATGTTTTTCTCCATTTTTCCATTTGACTTAAAGACCTCAACACTGTATTGACCTGAATCATTCTTCCTCAGGTTTGTGATCTTGAGTGTCCCGTTCTTGATTATAAACGTTAGTCTGTTGTCTGTCGTTGGTTTTCCTTTCTTTATACTGAACACAGTTATGTTTCCCAGGGGAAGCACCTTCAAACATGTCACGTCACGGCCACTAGCATCAGTCATCACTTGGATATACACAGTTCCTTGAAGAAGAGGAGAGCATGGACATGTGTTCGTCCTGAGGTCACAAGTAGTCTCATCAACTGGAACCAGAGCTGAAAAAGATGCATTCAAAAGAACATGAGTGGAAATAATTCACACTAAAAATGTAAATGTTTGGCATCTTGTGAGAATGATCTTACCATGAGTTCCCGCTGCCATTAGCACAAGAATAAAAAGCTGCTCCATGCTTTTCATTCACCCACGCTGTGGTTATAATGTTTTAAAATGAATCTACAAAATTTTGAACAAATCCGGGTATAAATCTGCTGTGAACCTCAGCCCTAACTGACAGGAAACAGTAAACGGGAGACAATATAGACAGGGTATTTTCACAGGGGCAGGAAATAAAGTGACTCACTTTGCTTGCCAACACAAAGAGAACTAAGACAGGCTGCTGTACTGAACTGATCTTAAGAAATATTTGCCACATGTGAACAAATATGTTCTCCTCTCTGTTGTAATTGCATGTGAAAACTTTAATCTAAACAACACTGGGAACTGCAGTCACACTTTCAGAACAGTCAGCCACACGTGGTACGTTGGTTACCACAGATAGTGTGAGAAAGAGCAAACCAAAACTAAAGTGACAAATTAAGTCACCGATAGTCCAGAAGCTTCTGTGAGGAGAACTTTATTGTTTAACAGTCTTTACAGGGTGTGCAGGAGAGATGTCTTTTTCTGTTTGTAAGTTTGCATAAGTTTGCTTTCCAAAAAGGAAGAGAAATGAAAGATGTGGAACAAATAAAATGCAGACAACCTGGTTAAAAGCACCACGCGAAAAGGATGCAAATCTTTGCCACAATATGAAACTGTGAGGCAATGTTCTCCAGATAATATTAAAACACAGAATCCTCTTATCCAACAAAGCTGAATTCAATATGAAAATTCATGCTCCATGACTCACATGTATTTGGGTAAAGAAAACAAATTCAAATGATGCAGATTTATATGTGAATAAGTTTATAATAGCACAACAAATTTTAAAAAGTAAATATCAAATAGTCACTATGAACATAGTAACATTAAACATTGCAGCTCTGCACAGGTGGAAGCAAGCTTTGCAATTCTTCACTTACTGTTAATTAAGTTTAGTAAGCAAGAGGAGTGATGGAGAACAGAATAAAAAGAATAAAAATCATCATAAGACAAGAGGAATGTACATTGCTTACTTACATTTTAATGGACGCACACAACAGCACAGGCTAAGGCAGTAACACACATATAATCACTCAACTGGAACTGAGAAAACCCATCTGTGTGAAAAAAAAAAAGAACCTACATGGGTACTTCCTGTATTACAGCGGAGATGGAAGATACCACTCTTATAAGGGTGTAGTGAACCTGTGCAAATAGTACGGGGCTTTTAAACACACTGAAGCTACTTTGACTTTTGTTTTGCATGCTTCCTCCTACCCTGCTCTAAAAATAAAAGAAACAGTTATGTCTGTACATGCATGTCCACCAGCATATATGTGCCCGACTGGGGTTCTCGTCAGTTTTTATTCTGGCACAATGAGGCAAACAAGCCTGTTTTTTGTTTTTTGTACTGATTTTTGCTAAAGTACTTGCAATCGTTCAAGCTCATCGTGAACAGCTGTGACAAATGAAGAAAGAAGCCCTCTTCTA